CTGCTTCCACGGCCGTTGGGGTTCAAGGCTGCCAGATGCCCCGGAGCGGCTCCCGGGCAGCGGGGGGCGGCACGCAGGACCCGACCCAGTGGCACAAGCAGCCCCAGGAGCTGTCGGAAGCACCTGGGACGCTGCAGGGTCCCTCCCTGGCCACAGTGCCCATCACCCAGCCCTGCGCGGGGAGACCGGAGTGCCCGGCCGACTGTGCTGAAGAATTCACTGTTTTTCTTGGAGATGCCGGGAGCTGCTCCGGGCTGGGAAAGTGCTGGCCACGCACCTTGTCACACGGCCAGAGACAGGCCCGCGTCCTCACTGTGCCTGGAGCCGGGCACCAGGCGCTTCTGGACCCACAGGATGCGCCCGGGCTCCTCCCGGCTCCGTGGCAATCCCGCCCCTCCAACCAGCCGGATGCCGCACACAGGAGCTGGCTCCCGCTGTGGGGGCTGCACAGCACTTAGAGAGAATCAAATATTAAAGAAATATCAAGAACCGCATGAAATATTAAACAGGGCGCACTCAGAGCCAAACCATGCGGCCGCTTACGGGAAGAAACTCATGGGCGGCCGAGGCCCCTGGCTGGGGTGGGGATGCAGCAGCAGAACCTGCAGAAGCGACACTCTGAGCCCCCAGGATGGCGATGGCTCCTGGCATGCGACAGGACCCGGGTTTGGTTCCACAGAGCCTCCCCCAGGGAGACCCCCAAAGGGGGATGCGGATGGAACACAAGGGGCGTCGCTGCCGAGCCCGAGGCCTGGAGGAGGCGGCAGCTCCCGCGCGCGGCATCGGGGCGCATGAGGCGCCTGCGCTCGGTGCCTAAGGGGCTCCCTGGCAGCTCATCCTGCCCGTACTGTGCTTCCCCCATTGGAAGCTGCTTCCTGCCCTCGCCGCTTCCGAGGCTGGAAAGGAAAAGGGTGATGGGGAGGGCGCCAGGCCGCGCACGCTCCGATGTCCTGGCCGCCTGCACTGGAGCTGCCCCAGTTGCGGCTCCTTATCAGACCGGATCCTGCTCTGGAGCTGCCGCTTCCTGACGGGATAGCGCTGTGTGGGAACAAGGGCAGCCCCATGCCCATGTCCTAGTGCCCCCCTCCCACCCTCCCACCCAATGTCCCACGCGGACACGCAGCCCGGCGCAGCCACCTCGCTCTCCGCACGGCAGATGGGCTCAAGGACAATGGCTCCGGCAGGAAGAGCAGCGGCCACGTCATGGGGACAGGGACATGGTGGGACCCAAGGAGCTCAGCAGACAGAAGGATCTGCTGCCAGGGTAGCTGGCACTGCCTGGCGGGGGAAATCCATGGGACAGCCAGGAAAGAGGACATCTGTGGTGACAGACCACCAGGGACTGTGTTGGCTAGATGTGCTGGCTGTCCCTGTCTGTCCCTGCCACGGCTGGGGACTGCAGCCCCCAAACTCCCAGAGCCTGGGCCACCTTCCCTGTCTCATCTTGTCCCCAGGGACATGGGAACAGAGGCAGCTGCCCGGTGCGAATGCAAATGGCCGGGGGACACTGCTGGTGTCACCGCCCTGTCCCCCTGTGTCTCAGCTGCTGCCTGGCCCGATGCCCTCAGATGGAGCATTGGAGCATCCCCCATCTTCAGAGCGGCCGCCCACTCACCCAGTCAAAACAGCCCCTTTCCCAGCCCTTCCCAGCAGCAGCTCTTGGGCAGGGACAACGTTTGCAGTGACACCAGCGTGGGGGAGGATAGGGGCTGCTGCGGGGGGGACATGCCAGCAGAACCGGGATAAAAATTGGGGTAAATCCTGGCCCAAGAGGAAGGGTGGAAAGAAAGTTGCGGTCAGAGAACCTCCCGGCTTGAGACCCGCAGCTCTCGCTTGGCTGCAGCCCCCCGAAAAGACGGAGTGAAGTGGGGGGCAGCCCAGCCCTGATCCTGGCTCTGCTGGCAT